TGTTTTTGGCACTAATAAAATTGCTTTTTCAGTCCACTAGAAAAAGAATTTTCCTTTGGGGACAAAATCGCAATAATATCGTATCGTGACATAAGTATCATGATAATATCGTATCGTGGGGCCTCTGGTGATTCCCACCCCTAAAGGAAAAGGCAGCTTGTTACTTGTACAATGTTATGTTGCTGAAGCCAGACACCCAGAAAAGGACAGAGGACATGACCTCAGTGCGCTCAGTTGTTTATACATGTTTATGTGTGTATTCTCAGAAGGGTAGATGTAATAATCTTATAATAACACTGTAAGACAACCCCTTCATAGCTGGAATCTCTTTTTAACATCAATTTATTCTTTTGTATTTTTTTAAGCTCTTAGATTTATTTTTTCAGTCTTAGTTTATTTGATCTTACAGGCCGAAATAAAGATTTTGCTCAAATCAAATCAAGCGTTTGTGCCGATGAACCGACCCTGGCAATGCTAGAATCCCAGGATCTCTCAACATTGACCAAACACTGCAGTTAGACCTGGACTAGTTTGGAAAGTGTTGCCCGGATTCAGAAATGTTACAAAAAGTCCACATGTATTATGGAGGCCAGCTTGATATTAAATAGACTCCTTAGTTTGAATGCTGTTCTAGAAAAAACAAATCATAAATAATTCTCATAAGCAATCTGTATCAAGTTCAAAATGGATCCAGATTGCCTGTGTTCCCTGTGTGTTCCTGTCTTTCCATCCAACGTGAAGGATGACAGAATCACATCACGAGTTAAACGAACAGCGCACAGATCAGACTGCTGAAGCTGTACGAGGCAAGGTTCACACACACACACACACACACACACACACACACACACACACACACCCTTCCAGCACTCGCCACTCAGCCTTAAATGTGTACATTATTTTTGACATCAGCCATTTAAGGGGACAGTATATTTTACACAAAGTGGCATTAATTAAGTCACTAAACGCACGCTATCATGTATTTCAAAGCCAGTGCGGATGAACAAAGGCAGTGACAGTTGGAAATACTGTGAAAGTCAATTAGAATTTTATGTACGTTTTTAGATCTCTCTTTTTTTAATGATAAATGAAGTTACTCATTTTGTCTGTGCTCTTTCTAGACACTGCAGCTTTAATTGCTAATTGTTAACAGTGAACGAATACATTTGCATATTAATTAGCTCCCAATTTACATTTTTAATTTGCTGCCTTCAAAGGGTGTGAGATAAAAGGTCGTGTTATTTTAAATAATTTATCCTTTATTGCAGGAAAGATGCTGAAAGGAAAACGTGGCGGTGATTTTTAACCCCTAAGAGCTCTGAAAATGCAAGTGAAAAATCCATACAAATATATTTATTAAGATTTTTTTGTCAGTTAATTAAATGGGCGAAGGAGAAAAATTGTGCTCTCAAACAGTTTTTAATACAAAGCCACGCGGAGAGGCAGAACAGCTCTGGACGGTTGAGTAAAGAATGGGGAATGCACCAGAGATGACTTCTGTGGAAGTCAAGTTTGGTAACCAGATCGCCCCTCTGTCTTTTCCTGCTGCCTGCGTGTGTGAGAGAGTGTGTGAGGGAGGGAGCGCTTTTCTTTTTATCACTCCATTTTGTCCTCTCTCCCTCCTGACACATCAATTGATTTGGCAGCCGGCGCCTTCAGTTTCCGACTTTCACCACGAGGCAGCGGCGAGAGGAGAGGGAACGAACAAGTTCAGAAATTCATTAAGATGAAAAACAGCCTCCACTGTATTTCTTGTGAGGAGGAGGAAGTGCTGCGTGTGGGTTTCTCTTTCTCTTTCTCTTTCTCTATGTGTGTGTATTTGGGAGTGTGACACGGGTAGCCAGCCAGTTTGCTCGCACATTCTTCCTAAGCGCCGCTCATTGGCTCTGTGCCACAAACAAACCGTTTCACAAGCAGTCGCCAGCCGGACGCCGGCACACAGTCAAGCTTTATTTTTTTTGCTGTTGTTGTTGTTGTGACAGACTAAACACAAATTCAGAGGTGACAGAAATGCATACAAAGTCAGTGAAAGAGATGAATGGAGCAAGCTGGACACCCAAAACATACCTCCTCTGCAGCTGGAAGTCTTAAAGTTAAGGCAGTTCTGCAACAAGGATGCAGGATCCATATAAGGCAGAGAGCCCGGAAAGAAAAAGATAAGTGTGACTATGTAACAGCTTTAAACCAAGATAACCTTTTGTAAAAAAAAAAAAAATATATATATATATATACATATATAAGTGTCTTATTAGCCTCAATTAATAGTTTAAAGATATATTTTATTTTCATACTGTACATGTTCCTAAACTGATTTTGCATTGGTGGTTGTGCAGTCACAGTAGGGCAATAACCACTCTCACTGATGGAGATCTAATATGATGGAAATGGATGACCCTGGTCAAAGATTTTGTGATAATATTTACCGGTAATAATGCACACAGGGGCCTTTTAGGGTCTGAGGAAGGACTGAGAGGAACCTGCTGATAGTGAGGACAGTGACAGCGAGGGAGAACTGATCCACCAATCAGGATTAAGAGGCAGATATGTAGTTTTCAGCAGTCTAGAGCCAACACACAGAATGTAGGGTGAAAGTAAGGAAGAGTAGGGAGTAACATGAGGCCTCAAATATATTGTGTTTCATATGCAGAGGCAGAGTGCAGAAAAAAATATGTGTATGGTTCTACACATAATAAAAAAACCTAAGATTCAAAAAGTATATGTTTTAAATTATTTAATTAATTTAATTTGATTGTTATGTAAAGAAACAAGGGACCATAATGTGTATGTTAATTACAACTGTTCTAATGCATATGTGTCTTGTTTTTACCCAGTAATTGCAGAAAAATCTGATTATTTTCTTGGTGTTTTTATACCCATATGCTATACACCATTTTACCAAAAACCTGCTTTATATATAACGCAGTGTGTGCTGAAGCACATATACACACATTCTTGCTCTGTGTGTATGTGTGTGTGTGTGTGTGTGTGTGCGTCAGTTAAGTGATTACGGGGGGATATTCAACCACCTCTACCAATTACACACCAGCCTCTTGTATACATAAACAGTGCAATTTATGTCCCATTGATCTGTCTAATTCTTTCAACAGGAGCACATTATGGCCGCCGTCTTTTTGTCTCCCGCCTTGCTCTCCTCTCTGCAGCATGAGAGCCGAGCGAGGGAAGCCTTCCAAGTCCTTTTGTACTCCCCGTGTCCCTTTGAACAATGAATCATATTTAGCAACAAGAGAGGAGAAAAAAAAGGCGCCGCTCACAAATAAGAAGGCGGCAATTCAGTGAGCCAGCCAAGATGAGTCGGTGTAGGCAGGAAGGCAGTCAGAAAGCCACGGTTGGACTGACATGAAGGGGTGACGGGGCTGAGACGAGACTTTTTGGGGCCCTTAGCAGAATTAGGCACCCCGCAACGCATTTCTTTTTTGTTGATGAAGAGAAACTGTAAATTACTGTCTGATTTAATATTTTAAAGTGATACTTAAAGCTAGCAACCCTTGAAATGTGGTGTACTCACAGGTGGTACAACAAACCAGCATAAAAGAAATCTTCAGATTTGTGTTCATGTCTAAATAAGCAACAATCAAAGGTCAAGTCATTGTTATTATTTATTAAGAGTTTGTCTGAGAGATGTGCTTCATCCTGACTGTGTGGGTGTGGTTTGATCCGGTTTGATTGACAGTGGCCGGGCAGCAGAAGCACACAGCCTCACAACTGTCATCTCATGCTGAGTTAAATGTTGCTAAACCCTGATTGGTGGACGGAAATATGTGACAACACCTTTTTAAAGCCCCGCCCACCTTAAAACAGAAATAAAGACGAGAACAAACAGAAATATCTCATACCAGACAGCAAAACTTTGGCAGAATGTTTTGTGTTCTTCAGAGTAAGAAGCTGATAGAGAGGATAGTTTAGCCTTTAAGCAAAGTAAAGACAATATATTATCCCCAACAAAACTATAGTTTAACATTTTAACACTTTAAAATGTACGTGGTGATGTATAAATGTGTAAAACTATTATCTACTATGATTAAAAGCATTCAAATAAAACAAATAAACTCAATACAAACTTCAACTATATGTTTAGTACAATTTCCTTCCAGTGAAAAACACAAATACACAGTGAGGGATTTTTAATTTGCTCACTTTTATTGCCCCCTGGTGGTAATTGATGCTTCCACCAACTGCTATTTTAGATGAATATTCAGTTTTCATGCTAAACATCCAGAGCTGTGTTCTTAAAGGACCATTCTTTGAAACAGCATCTGATCATCAAGCAACAGTCCTCATTTCAATCCAGAGTGGGGAAATTCTTCCAGGGTAGCAGCTGTTGACCTCAGCCTGCCCTAATCAATGATAAGGCGCCTTTCATTACTGCCATTAAACACCAGCATAAATAACTTTGCACCTAACACAACCTCCCCCCTGTGACAGAGATGATCATGCTTATAGAAAAACCCTGCTCCATATATAAGCCCAAGCCCAGTCCCAACGACACAGAATCTCATTTTATAAAAATAAGCTTAAAAAAAATCCTGTTCCCTTTCCCTGTTTTGCTTGTCAGTAGAAAAAGAAATCTGTGTTTTCCACCATCCGCACAAATCTGCCACCTCCGGTGATTGATGCAGTCAAATTAGATGTATGTGGAACACTGGCTCTGGCAAATGAACACATCAACTGATGACCAGCTGTTTCTAATTATTATACACTGGTTAATTAGGACGCCGTGTCACCATCAACGGCGGCGGTAAACTGTGTGAAATTCATAATTCATGCTCTGGCCTCCCTGATCAAACCGGTACAGTGTGGCATGGATGGAGAGGCCGTGCGGAAAGAGACTAGGGAGGCTGGGTGGTGCACTGCTGTTGCCAAATAGCTCTGTCTGTGTGTGTGTGTGTGTGTGTGTGTGTGTGTGTGTGTGTGTGTGTGTGTGTGTGTGTTCGCGCCTTTCCCTCACACCTCCTGCTTCTACCCCTCTCTCTGTCTCTCAGCAGGGTGTGTGTGTAGGTGGCAGTGTGAAATGTCTGGATCTCAAAGGTAAGCTGAACGCCTCACTCCGTCATTATTAAATATGATTGAGGACTTTATGTGACATTCATGATGCACGGAATGATTTTGTAATGTTAATGGTTTAGTTATAGAAAATACGAGATCATTTTTACAATTATTTGCACAAAGAAGAAAAAACTTAATAACAAACCTCTCAGTGGGATATTTTTGATCCTGAATCTCAGTACACTTCACACATACACACACACTTAGATTAAGTCTTAAAGACTGGTACCGAGTCAAGTGTGTTGATTTATTGAAATGATTTTGTTAAACAAACGAGTGCGTATCCTTTGTTTGCCGCAGTTAATTACTTATTTTCATGTGTTTATCAAAAACACAATGCAGAACTTCCAATTGAAATCTGCTATAAAAACCGTGCGTGGAGAGAACTGCTGGGTTGGCATACAAAATGACAATTTTCCTGATGCAGTTTTAAAATTTTCACAAACTTCCAGAAACGTGTCAATATATGAAACAACACAGAATAAGCAGATCACTAATAGGAAAATCACACCAATAAAATCCTTCAAACTGTTTCATTTCCAAACCAAAATCTAATGGTGACCTGATCATAACTGTAAATCTTATGATTATTCTGACCTTAATCCCATATTAATTAATCTCAACCCTAGCATTAATTGAAACCTGAATCAGTGCCTACTACTGAATTAAATTATTTATTACTCAAATCTGATACCAGTTCAAATACTGAACTCAAATCCCAAATTGAATGTTATTGTAGCCCTCAACTAAATCTAATCCCAGTTCAAATCTTAACCCTAAATATAACTCCTAATCCTAAACAAAATGTAATTAAATGAAACGTCATTACATACATTTTACTCTAAACCTAATTTTTACAATTTAAGATAAATTTGATTGTAGCCCTCGCATTCAACTAAAACTAATCCTAGTTCAAATTCAAATCTTAAACCAAAGTGCTAAATTCAAGTTCTAGTTCTTACATTAAACTAAACCTGATTCTCTGATCCTAAATCCTGTGTCCGAGCCAAAGTAGTTTAGTGAGCCCTGGACAGAACATCCTCACTTTGAAGGTCTTAAAACTCCGCCTGCTTTCACAAGTATAGAAGCACAGCAGCAGACGCATCTGCATACAGCAGCAGTGTGAAGTTGTGCACGATGCCATGATGGGCGTCTCTATCGTCACGCAATGATGACATCTGACTCCGGGTGTCGCTGCCTTATTATCTTCCCGACGCAGGGCGGATTAGAAAAATAGGATTTCAGATGGCTCTCCCTTCCACCTCACACACCCTCTGCCATCGCTCAGTTAAGTGATTATTGTTAAAACACAGGGAAAAAAGTCATTTTGGAAATAATTATGATAGTAATTATCATTCCCCCTTCTTGGCTGGGGAGATAAGAATTAACCCAGGAGAGAGAGCGATTGAGTCTTAAAAGTCACATGGATTTGTTTGATCAGTCACAGTTTGATTTGGAGTGTGACTCCTGATCAGGGTTGGGGCGCAACAGTAATCAGAATGCCAGATCTTAACTGTAATTCCTTAAATGCATTAATGAACACACATCAAATAAAGATTACTTTAAAAAATATGGGGTACGAAGGAGCAACACATCACTGTAATCAGATTACAAAATGGTGACAGTGATCCCTGATAATCCTAAAAACACAATAATCACTTTAAAACAATAGGATTAGTAGTTGGATTACTAAAATAAAATAAAAAATGTGGACGAGCGTAAGGAGAAACAAAAAGGAGAAAAGGTTTATTTCACATACATTTGTACAGATGGCAGAGGAAAGTTAAATAGTGAAAGTAACTCTGTACAGATTGTGGAAGTGGTGAGTAAAAGTAAAAATAGCAGAACCTTATTCAGAGGACATTTTTGTGCCCCAGATAAATATAAATATGTAGAATGAATTTAGTGTTTATATCTTAGGGGCCTAACGGTAAATCAAAACTTTAGTTCCTCGGATTCTGTAAATATTAGATATTTTTAATGTAACCATTACAGCACTGGTACGATGGCATGTTGTCACTAAAAAGAAAAAACCCACACATGTCAGTTTATTGAGTTAAACTCTTTTTTACACTCCTCTGTAACCCTGGAGGTCCAGCTTCCCTGGATGACAGCAGGTTCTGCATGTTTGAACAGAGCAACAAGATGACTGAGAGGTCATCACAAGTGGTTTAGCATGTGTGATTGTTTGTGTTTCAAGAAACGAGCCCGACTTAAGTTTTCACGACGTATGGACTCAGTTTTAGTCTGACCCACCTGCCATTGTCCAGTCTCACTGTAACTTATTCTGGAACAGCTAATACTCCCAAATGATAGATCTTCATGTTCCGCTCGTGCTAAGACATTGACCTAACTAGACTTATTAAGCTGATGCGTCAGTAATTATTTTGTTTACAGGGAAGACAAAGCTGAATGTCCTGGATCAGATGGAAAATCAGATCAAAATGCAGGGTACCAATCTCAAATTTAAAGCAATGAATAAACAGTAGAAGAGGTTGTAGCTGTGTTTGTATGTTACTATAATATTACTGTACAGAAAGGCACATCAGTGTTATGTATGTTGTAAATTACAAGGATAGAAATGTAAAGTGCCATGTAAAAAAGAAGAAAACACTGAACTGCACGAAGAGGTGCCTCACACTGCAAGCAGCAAACTGTAGGAAAAAAACAGTTGAGCGTGATAATAATCCCGTGTCAGTGTCAGGATCACTGTCCAGCAGTAGGAGAGGGGCAATACCACAATTACAGTTAAAGTTCTGCATCTAAAATCTTACTGAGCTCAAATATGCTCAAATACAGTATGTAGGAAAATATAGTATTTATATTAATGTATATGGTACATATGGAATCAGAAGGAGAATACACATGTCTTATTATTGCTGATACATTTACATAATGTTGGAGCTTTTACGTTCTGTACTGTTGGGTTTAATCAGTAATTTTTTACTTTTACCTAACATTTTAATAAAAATTTTAATGTGCAAAGTACCCAGTAACTGTAGCTCTCATATAAATGTAGTGAAGTAAAAGTACAAAGTAAATGTTCACATTTAACTCCACCACTGGGTCTGGTAAATAAGAATACCTTGTCAATTTCTATACTGTATGTACATATATATACATTATATTTGGTTACATTTTTCATTCCATGTACTCAATATGCTTTTGGAGGTAAAGTAATCAGATTACATTTAGGTTTTGGAAGTTCAGTTGGTTTATACAAGTGAGTTATTTTATTGATTACAATGCTCTGCAGACCGTCAGTAATCAATGGACACTTGAGCATTCAGTCTAATCATGAAAAACTGCTTCTTGTTCCTTGTAACTGGAGCTGTCATCACGATTTCTCCTCCTCTGTTTCTGATTAAGTCTCAGCACTTTATTAAAAGAAAACACACACGCGCGCACGGATAAACTTTACCTATAAAGGAAGTTGTTTTGTCGTGATTTTTGCTGAAATGTTCATTTCAGGAAAAGGATAAAGCACATTTAGAGCTGTGCAATTTTGCCTGTTAGCAAACAGCCTCCCAATTATCTCCCGTTTGATTGCTTGCCTCTATCAAGGTGAGCGATTAGACCACCGCTCCTGTGAAGCTCTGGAAGCCGTCCTGAAATCGCTGCACTTTGATTTCATCAATCTGCAGGCAGCCCAACTGGAAGAAAATGTGAGTTTTATGAGCAAAACTTATTTTCCCCATCTTCGTCTTCCAATTCCAATACAGTTTCATATTCAGACCTTCCCCTGTATCAGATTAGAGGCTATTTTTTTCCTTCCAAAAGAACTTCATAACATTCCTGTCAAATTTGGGGCCTTGCTTTCTTCATTTTTTCTCCTTCACTATTTTTTCTCTTCCAGGGAGCATCGTCCTTGCTGGATATGATTTTGTACTATGAATCTACAACCCATCTTGACATTTCTGACAACAGCAGTATGGGAACATCGTGTTGGAGGGCCCTCGCTCATTTGATAAAGCAGGTTGGCTGACGCAGTGGAATAGTAATCTTTTCTTGTAGGCTTTCTCCGGGGGATAATGTACGTCCTAGAAAGTGAGTTTGTTGCACATTACATGGATTGAAGACACAGGCCAGAGCAAACAGGGTGAGAAGTTCTCCCTCTGCGAGCACCAGCATCGAGGCATCAAAACACGCGCTGCATCACTGCAGCATCACAGATAGCATTAGCAGGCATAACTGATTAGCTGTGAGGTCTGAGTGCAAATATTCTTTCTGCTGACTGACTTTGTGTCTGTGTGATCAGTGGGACCAGATGAGAAAAATCAATGCAAGGACTTAGAGTTAAGATTATTTTGTCATAAATGCGACATCTCTGCTCTGATGCTTTTAAGAACTGACGTTTGTTTTGTCAAATTGACAAAATTGACATTACTTTGGGATGTGATGGGTCTGATGTTAAAATTGATCTATGGAGGGCAACTCAATCATGTCTCTTGAAAAAATAATGGAATTAAAGACAAAGCAAGGGTAAACTTCCTCCTTAAAGTTCCTCCTTGAAACTGGTGGTACTGGAATGGTGACGCCCTGCTCTCTAAATGTCGGCACCATAGTGGAGCATTTAGCAGCTATAGAGGCAGAGATTTCCCTCAGGAGGCGGTAGAGACCAAATACAGAGCTAAAAGAGAGAGAATATTGGACTTGGATTCATCAGGTGACACTTTCTCTACTTTTGAGCAGATTAGACATCTAGCTGCGACTCGAACTGCTTCTCTTTGCATTTGACTGTAGTCACTGTATTTTTGCATGTGTGTTTCAGAGTGTGCGTCTGTCCAGACTGGATGTGAGTAATGTGCCGTTGGTAGACTACCCAGCTCAGTCTCTATCTAAAGCTCTGCTGACCAGCCGGCTCACAGTGCTGCACCTTCACAATGCCCAGCTCAGCGGCATGCCACTATACACACTGGGTATGATGTACACACACACACACACACACACACACACATACACACACAAAAGCAATTTTTCCTCACTGAACACTCCTGAGCTCTAGCTTCTGAATACTCACTTATAATACACTGAGATCATGTTTGTTTGTTAAATCATTTCTGTGTGCCAGTGTGAACTGTGAGTATACATTCATGTGTGCCGACATGCATTTGGAAATGTGTGTGTGTGTGTGTGTGTGTGTGTGTGTGTGTGTGTGTGTGTGTGTGTGTGTCCTGTGGCCAGCAGGACCAGATTTTGACCTGTGACCCTCTCTGCAGGTCTGGACCCGGATTAGAGGCCTAATCTCCTACTTGTCACTTTACACACCGCTGCACACATCTATAAAGTCTCTGGCAGCCAGGACGCACACACACACATACGCACACACACACACAGATATTTACTATAACAGAAGTACAACCTGAGATACACTCATTTTTTTCATTATATATTTGCTCTCTACACACCATCACGCATAATACACACATGCCACCACACACATACTTACAGCATATGAACACTTTATTTGTTTCCCACAAATGACTAAAAATGTCATTTGAAATCTAGAATGAACAAAGTACAGTGAATTCGGCGAGGTCTGTGCTGAGAAGAGGAATAGTGCAGTGGGATTACTGGATGATTAAACAGACATATAAATACACTTACTGCGGGCAAACACAACAGTCAGAGGGGGGGGGAGTGCTGTCCATGACAGACAGACACACGGACAGTCATGTGCAACAGGGATAGTTAATGTGTAGCAGTAATCTTTAGTAATCAAATAAAAACATAATAATATGCTGTTTTGTTTTAATTCTGTACATGAGCAGATTTCATGGTAAAACAATCTCCGTTTGTGACTTTTGGTTGGGACAAAAAAATCTAAACTGTGAACGCAGCCTCTCCTCTCCTCTCAGCTGGGAGCAGAGAAAGAACCAAATGGACGCAGTATGCTGCCCACTCTTCCCGGCAGCAGCTTGCTCCTCCAACATTTTCAGCCATTTCCTGGATCTCTTTGATATGTTCGGGTCTCCCAACCCACCTCCTCCTCCCACGCTCATCTCTCATCCTGCCCCATCCTCCCTGCCTTTACCGTGCCCGCTGCTACCTCCCCTTCTCCTCTGCCGGCGGGGGGTCCCAGCTGAGGATCATTGCCTTCGATCGGAGGGGCCTCTGATTGCAGCGTTGGGCGTTCGCGGTGGAGTCGACCGGATCAATCCCACCGATCCTAACATTTGGCTCCCACTGTGCCTGATGACAATGTTGGCATTCCACATGCAGCCCAACAGGCTTGATCAAATCTGCAGCATCGATCTGGATGCAAGGGCAGACAGGGCCCAGGCAACACGGACACATGTGTACCACAGTACAGTACACATCACACAAATACACAGGGAATGTCCACCACACACATATAAATACACACATATATCTCTGAAAAACACCATTAAAGATGTGATAAAGTACCATAATGGAAAGATTCTAACAATGGCGTACACACGGACATTTTGAAGAGAGGGCCTTGAAATTTGACAGGTGTTTTGTAAGGTCTCCTGTGCTGAGGAGTCACAACTCGGGCTTCAACAATGGCTCCTTCATGTTAGAATGGTGAAGGAGTGCCACTTGATCTTTACCGCAGTAATTACAGGAGGCGGCGATTCCTGCTGTGCTCTCGTTTTCATGCTCAAGTTCACTCGCCATCAATCAGTCTGCCGCAGTTCCAGCCTGGAGGCCCCATGTTTGGCTCTCAGAGGACATGCTTGTGTGATGGATCCTATCTAATATCAGTTTAAAACAATCTAAATGTCTTAATGCATCGTCTGCATTTGTGTCCTATCCCCGTCGCCTCACGCTTACCCACCCTGACAATGGAGCGTCACCAGTTGAATGTCACGTGCGGGAGCTTCACGTTATCCCTGTGCCAAGGATCTGGTCCCCAACTGGCCTCCCACCAACGACCACTGCACTGTTGTATCTTGATTAGGATCAGTGGCCGAAGCTTACAACTCAGGATACTTACTCAGCTGAAAAAAACACTAGTCTCTTGTACTGTTAATGAAAAGTTGTTTGGTATTTTTCAACCAAGGTCTTTTAATCATAATTGTAGCCATGGGTCATGCTAACTTTGCACAAATCGGAGAATTTAGACTCAAACAAGTATAGGGACAAGTGAGAGTCTGCAAATGCTTTTCATATAAACTTCAATTTTACATAAATTATGTCTTATTGATATGATGAAATATGAGTCCAGCCAAAAGTTGACAAAGAAATTGCATTTAGCGGCCACCGTGGTAGCCTAATGTTTAAGGTGCACACCACATAACTGCAACATCCACAGACGGATTCCCGGCTGGGGGACCTTTGTTGCATATCACACTTTACCACACACACACCACCAGAAACAAACCACTTCGCTCACTTTGCCCACTGATATGTGCTCTGTTCACTCCAGCATTCAGTCCCTTCCCTTTATCTTCAGTGACATCAAGTTTGGAAAGAGTGATGCAGAGACACTGGGCCAATCAAAATGCTCATTACAGTAAATAAAAGTGAGCCAGGAATCGTCCCTCGCGTCAAGAGGCTGCCATTTCCCTCGTGTCGTTTGAACCACAACCGCCTGTCTTCTCAAACGCTTTGCTTACGGACTACCAGAAGCTCAGTCCTGGAAAACCCCGACTGGGTTCACACACTCACGGGAATGACTAAATCTATTTAGTAGGAAAAACATAAACAACTTCTGACAAACATTAAATGCCAGGAGAAAGACCTGGCTGGCGCTCCTGGCTGTCACTATACAAATGCCAAAGAATCTGTGCGTGCAAAGTTAGCAAGCCTTATAGTTAAAATAGCCATAATTGTAATAATAAAACCAATGTTCAAAAATACCAGATTCTTCCATTAATATTGATTTCTGTAATGGGAAAGCACTGACAAAGTTGATTAAGTCAAATCAAATTACACAAAATATGATTGCTAGCATTTGTCTGGCATCGAACTAATTCGTAACATTTGAGGAGGGTAATGTTGGATCCTGTTCCTGAACCTTTGAGCACTCTTTTCTTTTGTTGCTGCTTGCAGTTGGTGCACTGAAGTCAAACAAGGCTTTGCGAGAGCTCCACCTTGCCAACAACCTGCTGAACAGCTACCAGGACGCCCTGCATCTAGGAGACTTGCTACGCTACAACACCACCTTACAGACACTGGAGCTCAGCAACAATGCTTTGGCAGATGCTGGTAGGAAATTCATCTTTGTTACAGAACAAAAATATATATTTATTCAGAGTAGCACAGAGCAAGGATGATATATAAAAAGCCATGTGTTCATCAATATGTGGTTCTAGAAGAAGAGGCAGTTTTGTCTAATTGAGAACCCATTGGTTCATCCTGCTTATGACGCGTAGTTAATGGAGGACATGCTTGGTGTGGGGAGTGCTGAAGGATGTGGACATAAAATAACAATGAAATAAGGATATATGCTCTGTTCGAGAAAAGAGGGGGGAAAGAGGTGCTGGTAGCTGTTTTTATTCTTGGACAGAGCCGGCTAGCTGTTTCCCCCCCGCTCGTGCCTACACCTCTAAAGCTCACTAATCAACACATTGTTTCTCGCTTGTTTAACAGTAGAAAAACAGACATGTAAAAACAACAATTAGTTGTTTTAGAGGGAGGTACATGGTATAACTATTTCTGGACAATCTTCTCATCTCACTCTCTGAAAAAAAGCAAAAGAGCGTATTTCCAAGAATATCGCGCTATTTCTTCAAACCTGGGGCAAAATAGTTTCGTCTCAGAATGCGTTCCTGAATTTAATTTTAATTTAGGTAGGGGTAGGGCACATGTTTGCAGACGCTGGTTGTTAGTGTGACACATGATCTTATTTGATTATTATTAATTACAGCAGCTTCCAAGGAAAAACAGCAAAGCGACACGGTAGGTAAATATAGTGGGAGGGATCGTCACACTGTCAGTTGCAAACTTGCACAGTCCAGCTTTAATATTATCTAATTAATATAGATATGTGAAAAGGTTAAGCACATAACAACCTTCTTCATAGTTACTGTAGCTCAAGTCATATGTAGCACTGCAGCAACACTCCCACTAAACATCTGTCGGTGCCATTTAGCTTACAAACACAAACACAGACAAGCAGTTAAGGTGAACATGTTCTGCTAATTACCATATTTTCATCTTTTATTTGAGTTTATTTTTTGTTTTTATTTTTTACTATCCAGGTTTGGAGGAGCTGTGTGACGGTCTGAGGCGACAGACAGCAGGTCTGAAGGTCCTGCTGCTGAGGAACAACCAGATCACTGCAAAAGGCATGGTCCATCTGGCCGGGGCCCTGGTGAGGAACATAGTACAGGCAGCAATTAAATATATTCCAACACCCAAGAACAGACCTTTTCTTTAAGCAGAAATACCTTCAGCCTGTAGCTGCAGACTGAATGCTGTGTCCAATCATTGCCTACAAAAGGCAACTATGTTGGAGGCAGATTCAGCAACATGGTCCCTGCCTGTAAGACAATGGAAGGACAAGACATGCAGTAGAGCAACACATAGCCTTTAAATAAAAGCCACTTTATGTAAGACTTCCTTACTTTGGCTCTTAAGCTTGTTATACATCACTATGTTGTAAAATGATAAATAAATCTACCCTGTATGTGGTGGTAAATATAAGAATATAAAGCAGCAATGCACAATCTGTGCAGTTCGAAGGAAGTGCTCGTTGGATCATCTAACTCCTTCTAAACCCCCCCTTTCTTAAGGCAAAGTGGGGGTTCTGATTGATGGTGGCGTGCAAGGTGAGAAAGTAAAGCTGGATTTATAGTCAACACAAGAGGTTAATGGAGGTGCTGCCGAAGATAACTACGGTGTATGTGTTGAATCATGCTTTGCATCGGATTTTCCACCGCCGCAACATTAGACGCATGTTTTTTACAGGATCAGGCTGTGTCACATTCTTTCATTCCCTTTGTGATACAAGTGAAGGGCATGAGCTACGCGCATACTGGAGTTACATCCGTGTCATTTTGCCCCGTCTCGTTACTGAACAGGACACAAATGTTGTGTTTCCGCTCATTCATTCATAGAGGGTTTGGAGTATACTGTCTTTTCTTGATGTGCGTCACTGAAAAGGAGATGAGTATTTTTCCAACTTAAATGTTGTCCCCAACAATCTCCATCAGCTGTAGATACTGGTGAGAGAAAACACAAGCAGGCTGTGCTGACCGATCACAGCGCAGTTCCACGTGGTATCTCCGTAGCAGCCGTAGCACCGGCGTGTAGTTCCATTTTTGAGGAGGCGCACATCAACCTATACTAAGGTAGCTGCAGTAGGTATGCCATAACCCCTTAACACAGAGGGATAGGTCATTTTTCATAGAGCTGCTTCTTTCGTTCTCATGTGTACAATCGAGTGCAACTCCCTGAATGCCTTCGAGACTTTTCCTGCATCAAGACTACAAAGAGTTCATGGAGAGATGATGGGGAGGCAGTAAGATCCAGGAAGCTCTATAAGGACTTCCTTGTAATATAAGGTAAAATCATTAATTACAGTAGCTACTGTAGGTTACTACTATTCAGGAAGGAAACACTATTCAAGGAAAGAGAAAGCGGGAACTTAATGCAAGGGAGGATATCCACTTGATTCCATTCTCACCATGAAGTGATCGGAGCAGCCCTGTTGCCTTTGTGCAAGCTGAGCCGAGCTGTCGGACTGATACCTGCTTCCCTCTAGCCAGTATTGAGGAAATGAAGAGCACTGAGCCTCATCCAGAGAATTCCCGCTCTGAAATCGTCCCGCCTCCGCATGATTCACTATACATGCCTAATAACATGCATTCCTTCCGCCTGATTGGCAGCATAAACTGCACCTTCCTGTCATGTGAGTGGCGATTGTGGAAGTCAAAAGGCTAGAAATTAAAGGCCTGCCTGGTACGCTCACACACACACACACACACACACACACACACACACACACACACACACTTCTCCGGTTTCCTCCAGTGCTACCAAAAGAAGGAACACTTTGATTAAATAATAGATGTGTGTTAAGGAGGGGTGCTCATACGGCCTGCCAGTCACAAGGATAAGTAGATGTCCTTGCAGGCCATAATGATGATAATTAGACCCGTAGCTGGTCGTGTCGAATATGATGACGAGGAGAGCTGTTATTAACCTTTCTGGTTGGTGTATGTGCTTTTCCTCTCTGTCCTAGTGGCTTGTTGGCTTGTCTAGGGGAGCAGATGTGGGCCAAAATCCACTTGACTTCCAGTTCTAGAATTTTGCTAACGATGTCTAAATTTACTCTTTGTCCCAAAAAGTTGTACAGGTGATAACGGTGAGGTGAATATGCCGTGCAGGGCTCTTGTCTTTTCTACTTTGCGTCCTTCTGCTGTTGTTGTGGGTTTTTTTGTTTAAGGCCAGCATGTCATGTGTGAAAGCATACTGTGTTTTTGGTGGTTTCACACTCCTACCCCCCTCAAACTTCTCACTCCAACCCTCCCGTGGTTTACGTTTGACAGGCTTCAACCATGCTTGACTCTCACACACTCTCAACCACGCAGTCGCCTCTTTAATTGTCTGCTATTATCCCTCGTGCATATCCATTCGAGATGCTCTTCCTCCCTCTCCTCCTCCCCTCTTCACCAGAGAAGCTTCTCGCCACGCGTTGGATGTAGCATTTCCTCTGTGTGCTGCGACTCAGTGAGGGGGGGGGGGGCTCTCAAGTGTGTTTGTTGTCACCGCGGTGCAAATTAACTCGGAAGACGACGCTCTCTGGGTCTGTCGGTTGCCTTCCTGGCTTCCTTTCCACCCCCGCGCTCCCTCTCTCTTCAGAGCAGTGACCAGAGGAATTTAACAAGGGTGGCGAGGCGAGGGGGCAACCGAGGAGTGGGTGGCGTGTTCCTCTTCAAGCTGTTGGGCAACATGGGCCTCTTGTGCCCCAGACACCCCCAGCTTTATGCGCCAGCTAATCAACCTTCAATGCTAATGTGGCTCTGGAGAGTGGAAACAGAAGTTCTGAGCATTTAACATGAGAGGAAACAGTCTGAAAAGGAATAATAATCACCACATAATAATAATGATAATAACTAAAAAAACTTCTCAGCCTTATCCACACTCACTTGCACACAGAAAGTAGCATCCTACACAGTCTCAAGCTAAGCTTCATTGTCGAGTAAAGTCATTGAACTCGCTCAGAGTGACTTTACAATTTAAAAACAGGGATTTAAATTCTAAAAGTCCGTGGATCCAGTTTGAATTGTGTTTAAAACCTCAGACAAATGCTAATCAACCTGACCCCAGGATCCCTGTTTCGCAGCCAGCGCTGAAGGTCCTGCAGGTCCTGGATTTGGGTGAGAACCTCCTGGGAAACGAGGGGATCCAGGTCATAAGGGAGCCTCTGATGGTGAACTGCTCAGTGCTGCAGCTCAGCCTGGCCCAAGCCAATATCAGCTGTGAAGGTACAACAACATAATGCAGTACGGTTTTGATTAAAAGAATCAATATTTTATTCTTTAAAATCTAATTTTAATATAACGTACTGTATATAGATTATAGTAATGGTGTTGGTTTTTGTCACAATGTGGTTGAATTCGTGACCAAATTATCAAACTAATACTGTTGCAGTTCTATTTGTTTTGCAGCATATTAAATCTGTGTTCATATACATTTGCACATCAGTGATTTAACTCTGGTTTCATGTTTAGTTTTGAATAGAGATAGGGCTGCAACTAACAATCATTTTCATTTTCATCTGTTTCATCGTTTATTTTCTTGATTAATCTTTTTTTTAAATATCAAACCAACAGTCTAAACTTCAAGAAGATTGAGTTTTCTTTAATAATAAGACTAAGACTAAGAAAGAAAAAGTGGAACAGATTATTTATTTGGAATTAGTGCTTGAAAATGATTACTCACTTGTCACTCTAATTGAAAATTGTCTTTGTCATTCAAATAATCGATTATTCAACTATTATGTTAAGCTCTAAAAAGAGAATATCAGTGTTGTGTTTTTAAACTGGCAATGTTCCTCTTTGCATCAGTGACATTTATTGCTGTCGAGTAGCTTATTTAGGGTAGCGAGCCAATTAGGGTTTCAAGATCATACTAGTCCTGCAACTGCCTAGATCAACTACTAAGCCCCTCCCTCTAAGCTTTCGACGTTGCACGTTTTCTTTGCTGAAGGTGCTGTGGCGTTGGCAGAGTTCCTCGCAGAGAGTCGTCAGATTCAGCGGCTGGACCTCCGTCAGAATGAGGTGAAGGTTGGAGGCCTGATGGCCTTGTGTCTGGCCCTGAGGATCAACCACTCTCTTGCTAGCCTGGATTTGGACCACATACCCCTACAGGAGCAAGTAGGTGCAGCTATAATTGTAGTTAACGACCTGAAGTCACCTACGCCTTTATGTGCTGGATCACTGGACTGTAGATGGTTGTTCCCATTTTGCATTCTCAGGAAATGTTAGCATTTAGACCGTGATGTAGACAGAGCTGCACTTGTCGGTACACAACACAAGCTGTCTTCTATTACTAAGGTCCATTAGTAGCTGTTGGTCATATCACACTTCATTAGTCTTCCTTAGTCTGACCGCAATACTGATCATATCTAATCTTTAACGGTGATCAAAGTGCAGAAACAGAGGAAGCACTGTGGAGCACAATGTAGATCAAATGAAGCCTTAACGAAGCAGGAACACATAAAATAGTTACAATAATAGCTGTATTTGTGTAGAACTGTTTAATACAGGTTACAAAGTGCTTTACAGTCAATCAAGTCAACACATAAAAAACCCCATAAAAACTGGCATCACACAGTGGTTCACAACAATCAATATGTAAAACAAACAAGTCAATTTACAAAATAAAATAGGCATCACACAGTAAACTTTTTTTGTAAAAAGAGCCTGATCTCCTCTGGTAGATTGTTCCAGCACAGGCCGACTTTGGTTTTCAGCATAGACCTTGGAATGGCTAGCAACACACTACCAGAGGATCTCAGTCTGCGTCCTGGCTCACAGGGGGATAGGTGGGATGTGTGAGACATGTGTCCATGAATCTATTACCCCAGTGCATGTTTGGAGGGTTCCCAACATACCTACCTCATGTACCTGCAGCCACATGATCCGCAGTGATGATCATGGTTTCCGCTCTCTACTCATTTTGCCTTTATTTCAAAATAAGATACACTGTACAAGAATAACTTAAAAAGTGAATCTTTAAACTGCTTTCAAAGAATCAAATTAGCTGAGTGAGAGTAAAGCCTGATCATAGCTTAATAGCCTGAATTAGCAGCATCTAAAGAACAGGGCCCTGGTCTTATGAATTGTGATTTCTGTTTGTTGACCTCTGTCCTGCCTGGTGGAAATAGAACAGGCTACTGGTGGTGCTGTCATAGTAAAATGGATCCAGCTCTGCAGGAAAATGACTACTGGTGCTTTCATTTAAATGTTCCTTCTAACTCAGAATGAAGGGTATTGGTGATTTGAGGATTACTTATCCTTAACATCTTGTCTTTTGTGATTTATTCAGACTCACTGTGGTCACAGATTTGTCACTTGCAGACACAAGTAAGTCATTTGTGTCTCAGTTCATCAGTGGTACTTGCTTTGTTTTTTCTCTCTACCATCCATGGCTGCAGAGGCCTGAGGAAAACGATGCCATAACTTTAATACATGCCCCTGCTGGATTCACAAAATAATTACCCACACTTGCCATCTGTTTGTCATGATTTTATCTCTGCTAACTTATTTGCATATTAAAGCATTAATTAAAATCTCCAAGGAACGGAATGCTTACTTTAAAATTAACTCTGAAGGCGATCCGTGCACAGCTTCCAAAGTTGTTTTATTTTAGTTTGCAGTGGTTTTCTGTTTGTCTGCGTGTTGTTTACACGATTAAGTCTGATTTTTATGAAATGTCTCCTCTGGCTAAAGTCAAGCGGCAAGATGTGCCAGATTTTGGAGAGGCAGCTTTTAAGAGCCATGACGCTTCTGTGAATGTGTGTCATTATAGCTGGGACTTCTTCGTCTTCTTCTTCCTCACTTTTTGCACATGCACCAAAGCCTCCATATTGGCGGCTCTGTTTTCATGCTCCTCTAAGCCGCCAAGAGACGTGATTAGCATTTCCACTATTGGTGGGAGTTAGTGTGGCTGGGTATTTTAAGGGAATGGTAATAAGGGAATTTTTAAGCTCTGTCAGGTTTTGGAGTCACACAGCTGGGATTTGTCTTGGCGTGGCATATCCAGGTGGGAGGAGTGACGATTGTATTAAAAAGCAAATCTTTCCATCAGAAAACAGCGGGTGGCCAGATCAAGTGTTCTCGCTCAGTCACATTCCCCGGGTCGCCAAGGAATACGTGAAAATTTCATTCTTCTGAAGGAAAATAAATGTGGGTATGAATGTGAGTGAGTGACGGAGGGGGTTATGGCAGTATTTTGTGTGTGTTTGACAGAGTCGCTGATATGGAGTTTGTGTGTTCATACATGTGCCTTTTGTATGTGTGTGGTTTTACGACGGCGCGGGGGGCGATTGAAGATGCGCATATTTAAAAGGCGAGAAAAGAAGGTGGCAAGAGGGGAGGAAATCTGGGTCCTCTTGTCTTTGTTTACAAGAGTCAGATTTTTCATGTCTGTTGCCACGCTGCTCCATTTGATCACTGGCCTGTTTGCTGTTAATTATTAATTATTTACCCATCTAAAATATTCATGCACCCTGGCCCTAGTGGAAAGCAGCCTTTTCCGAGGGGCAAGTTCTCTCTGTAGCCACTGCAAGGTGGAGCTGTTTATACATCCTTATCAGGGGACTCTGTCAACCCAGCTAATGAACTAAACTTCCCCCTGCCCAGCGCTCTCTTAATCGCGGGTCGGACGAGGGAGCCTGTTTACCTGTTTGATGCTTAAATATTTGGTTTGGGATTTGGCCGCCGTCAGCTGTTCTCCAGCAGAGGAGTTTAGTGATAACGCTGGAGAGTGTCCTCTCCTGAATGTCGCATGTCAGCAAGGTGTAGCTGTTAGGGAGTGATTGTCTCACTGAGTGATAATTACAGCAGCATGGAGTGTGAGTGTGTGCAGGAAGGAGAGGCAGCAGGAAGGAGGTTGTTCAGTGGTCCTGTGGAGGCGGATGACAGGAGCAGTTGTAGTCCTTTGAGAAGCCAAAGGGACAACAATGTATATATATATATAGTTACTAACTTTGTTATACACCCACCCAGTCCCAACTTTATTATGTACACTTGTACAGTCTATTGCAATTTAATGCAACAGCTCTGGCACAAGTTCTACCTTTACAAAGTTTGTGTTCATTTTTTGTTGACATTGTTGGAAATTGGAATTATTTGTTTATAACTGAGATGGTAGTTAAAGGTGGTGGTGTACTACAGTATGTTGAGATGTGTTTCTTTTGTCCTCCCATTTTACATACATGAATATTAAGAACACATCTGAATATATCTTTACTTGTTATTAACTCTGTGTCTTAAAAACAACAACCCTCATCATCTTGGACCAGTTGGTCTAAGGGGCAGGGCCAGACTAACCTACTACAGGACAAAATCTGAGCTGTGGGGCCCCTCTGAACGTTAAGTTTCTGTTGCCCAGAAATACCCTTCTTTTACAGTGTACATGGAGCCCTAGAAAACAACAAGTACTCCTCTTCTGGGATACTACCCTGCCCCTGCCTTGTTATGTATCAGTGAGCTAATTTCGTTTAACATAAAGTTATTTAAGAATAAACAGCTGTAAGGATTATATTATCTGAAATAACCCAGGGTCCCTCTACAAACCAGGCCTGAAGATGGGATAAATCTGAGACCTGCATTAAAGGCCGTATCATTTCAGTTTACTTTTGTGGTGCAAATTCTCACAAATATTTGCAGCTGATCAAAGAACCACTAGCCAACTGCCAGATGCACCTGGGACCTTTGAGTTCCCGGAGACATTGCTCACTTTGCCCACTTTGGTAATCCAACCTTAACAATGTGACAGATTTTAGTTTTAACACTAGAAGCTCTGTAGTTATGGTGTTTCCAATATGTGGGGGCCGTTGCCAAAGCAATACAAACAATTTATATGTATACAATACTGAAATGTTATTATGAATCTGTGTTTTATTAGTTGAATCTCATGAATTTCCAAACTGAATATCTGTCCCAGACACACTGCAGGACTGCCCAGCGGTCTGTCCATATCTACAGCACATTCGATTTAGCCAATGTCATTTAGATATGGCACTTAACATATTGTTTTAATGGAAACTGTTGAAGCAATTTCCATATTCATGGTCCCCAGAGGATGAGCTGTAATCACATTTGGTGACCCCCTTATTTTTTATCTAGTGCCATCATAGGGTCAGCATCTCAAGTAATCAGTGCTTCGGTTTATGACCAAGTACCTGCAAACTTTACCTAATAAATGATAAAGTTTAGACTGTCACTCTGAGCACGTTATCATGTGGGTGTTAGCATTTAGTCCATAGCACCAGCTAAGTACAGCCTCAGAGATGCGAGCTTGACTGTAAACTCATGATTGATCTCTAGTGAGAGACAGCGGGAAAAAATGTTTGACAAAACTACAGCTTTTGGATACAAATAATATTATAATTAGCAATAGATCAAGGTTAAGGATGAAATACAGTGAACCTTTCTTTAATTGAACTAGAAAAAAATAATTACAGTTACTGTCAAAACCCAAAATGGATGCAGCCTCATTGTTTTTGTGATGGTTATTCTTACTTACTTGTAGTGAGCTTTGAATATGTAGCCATGATGAAACAGATTGGCTACTGATGTCTGTGAGTGGATCCGCTCTGGCTATTCTTCATTTCATCCAACAACCTTGATAGTTCACTTCTCAGGGTAGTTTACTGGCTTTAGATTACATTTCCGTTAATGCTTGCGGTACAGGAGTGACATCTGAGGAAAGGTACATGTGTCTCTATGGGTCTGTGGAGAGTTTGCTGTGGGAAATGTTCTGCACAGAGGGCACCGTTTGAAGGAGCGGGAATACTTATTTTAGGAACAGCGTGAAACAAAGAGGTCTCTTGGTATGTTTTTGGGCACCCCTGTCACGGTCAGTCCCAGCAGGGTGGCTAGGTGACAGGACGGCCTGGCCATGCATGTAGTAGGCACTCAGGTTTCAGTTGCATCATGATGACACCGGGGCTCTGGGGAACAGAGTACGTAGGCAGACAACAGCAACCAGGCAGAACATGCCTCCCAGCAATGCCTCAGAGGGCAGCAGGGACTGGCTCTGAGCTGTTGGGGGGACCAGGGTTCACACTGCTACCAGATCAGTCAGTCACCTACTGGAACCACACCACACAATACAGCTCACATAGTTTGGCCTAAAGGAAATACTG